AGGTCTTCAATCACTTTGTCTTTAGCCGTTCCGACCGTCTTATTCATGGCATCCATTTTGATGCGGGTCTCGGCCTCTATTTTGGCCGCGATATCGTCCCTGAAATGGTGTCAAACAATACGGTTAACAGCAATCAATCAATTGATTAACCAATCATTTAGTAATTGATGCCAAACCTGGAGCCCATGTGTTTGTGTTCATAATCGCGGAACTGCTTCTCCCGCTCGGCCTTAAACTTCTCGATCTCGTGGTTGGCCTCGTCTTTGGCCTGTTTGAGGCGTCGGGCCTTTCGTTTGCGCGCCTCCTGTACCTAATGGGCACCAAAATTATCACTTATTAGTCTTACCACTCATTTAGTGTCACCACAACTCTCGCAATCGACTCAAACCTTTTCCGCGGCCCTCTTCTCGGCGGTCAACAGCTGTTGAATGCCTTGTGTTTGACTCGCCATCACTTCAACCACACCTTAAATTCAATACAATTTAATATTACAATTGAAATGCAATTTACGTTTAGATCAAAGAAACGCCTATTATTTACAACACCAACACCTCTACCATTAAATCACACAATACTTCACTCAATACCCGATTACAGCTTTTATTTTATAATAAAAGTAAACAAATTATTAAAATATATTCCTAAAGAACTTTCTTTAATAAAATGTTTGCGTGAATTGAAATATTCCGGGAATATAATGATGTTTTAGTGGGAATGCGTTAACCCTATAAATTGATGTTTGGATAGCGTCGGCGCACACCTCTACCCATAACTCGTATGAGTGACAGTACGAGTTGATAGTCAGCTGACAGTTATATCCCTTTAATGTTGAGTCCATTTAAGTGACAATTCATTGAACATATCGTTTAGGTTTGGCTCGCATTCAAAACAATTGGCATTTANCTCGTATGAGTGACAGTACGAGTTGATAGTCAGCTGACAGTTATATCCCTTTAATGTTGAGTCCATTTAAGTGACAATTCATTGAACATATCGTTTAGGTTTGGCTCGCATTCAAAACAATTGGCATTTAATTGCACTTTAATTAACCATTGATTGCATTTAGTTGTGAGCGAAATGTTTGTGTAATTTATTGATGCATTGAATTGATTGGCAACAAATCGTCAGATATTTCACAACACAAATGGATAACTATTTGGAAAATTGCAGAAAACATTTGGTATGAGTTTTNTTTAATTAACCATTGATTGCATTTAGTTGTGAGCGAAATGTTTGTGTAATTTATTGATGCATTGAATTGATTGGCAACAAATCGTCAGATATTTCACAACACAAATGGATAACTATTTGGAAAATTGCAGAAAACATTTGGTATGAGTTTTGAATAACACTTCCTATGGTTTTGAATGTATGCATAATTTGTTGTATTAATTGTCTGTTAATTTTGCATTGAAGGTAACGTTGAGTGAATGGTCGGAACCGATAGAGTTAGTGGTTGGCAATGAAAGCTGTGATCTGGACTCAGCCGTCAGTGCCGTCGGTCTGGCATTCATTAAACACACGGAATATAATGTATTATTAAAACCCGGATTTTACTTCTCTTTAAGTGACAATCTTATGATAACTTACGATATGTTTAATAATCTCATAGAAAGTGGAGTCCAATAACCGATTAGTTATTCCCGTTTTGAACACAACTCGAAATGAATTACAACTGAAAACGGAAGTGATTTTTTGGTTTGAAAACTCAGTCCATTTGAGTCGCGATGATCT